CACTCTTTCTCAAACTGCTTTTTTGTCTGCTGCACATCCGCCATCACTTTATTAATTTTTCTACTTACAGCTTTTTTAAAGCCTTAGCAATTGGATTTACTCATCACTATAATTAGACATTTTAAATTGAGTCTTCTTACATACTGTGTTACTGAACGAGATCAATAACAATGTCCTTAGTTCAAGGCAAGAAGAACATCCAAGAAAATAGAGAAAAAATGATATAGATTGACTTAATAATTTTCTACTTGAGTTACATTGTTAAGAGTTGACATTTATAAGCAAAGTTTTAAATTGCAGTGGTGGTTCCTTTCAAAACTTGAATGTTACGAAAAATTGAAGATAAATGTAGTTGTGAAAACTTCTTAAACATTATTGTAGTTGAAGTTACCGTAGTGGATTTCAGTTTAAAATGAGTAAATAATCTATGTATATATTAAGCTATATCGGTCTAAACGGAGTTTAATTATTCTGTCGTCTAATTAGAAATTATATGTAACATATAAGTTTATTCGCTTTTTAGATAACTAAAAAATATATCAACGGTGATTTTTTAATTGGTTGAGTAGAATTTTTACACTGAAACTAAAATTTTTTATTTTTTTATTTTTATTTTTTTTATTTTTTATGTTTGAACCTTTGCCGCAGATTTTAGCTATCCCACGACAACAACATAACAACCTCACAAGGAAGTTACACTCTACCTTCCTATAATATTTCCATATCCCTTGACACACACCTTATGCTAAAGATGTATAAGCATTGTTCAGAACATTATTACAGTAGAATGCCCCACAGAGAAAAACAAAAAAGAAAATCCACCACATCATCAGAAAGAAGGGTGCAAATCTGATAAATAATCTGACACCAAAGGTGTGCTAAATTCAGTCACCGAAACATAAGCAGCATTTACAACATGAATTCCTAAAGTCCTTATTCTATCTAGTTTTGGTTTAGAGTCAATATTACTTTTCTTCATGATTTGATACCTGAAATATTTTTATATTTTTTTAGAATTTTAAATAAAAAAAATCTTGATTTTTCATATTTAGTAACTATTATAAAAGAAAAAGAAATTTTTAAGAATTAATTTTTTGATAATCATTTTTGTCATTTTGAAAAGATGAGAATTTAACTTTCTCGACTTAAGAAAAAGTTATATATATATAATTATATTATCTCTTTTTAAAATAAAACAATATCTTTCTCTCTTTTTATTTTTCTTTTTGAGTATCTTTCTCGTTGTGTCTCACTCTCACTCCTCCTCTCTTTTCCTCTCTCCTTCTCTCTTCCTCTCCTTCTATTTCTCTTTCTTGCACTCTCTCACTCTTACTCTCACTCCCCTCTTTCTTCCCCTTCCATGTCTCTATTTCTCTATCTTTTATATCTTATTATCTTTTAACCTTGTCAATTTTAATAATATTATTAAAATTTATTATATTTTTACATTTTAATAATATTTGTTAATTTTTTTATCTAATTAGAAATTATATGTAACATATAAGTTTATTCGCTTTTTAGATAACTAAAAAATATATCAACGGTGATTTTTTAATTGGTTGAGTAGAATTTTTACACTGAAACTAAAATTTTTTATTTTTTTATTTTTATTTTTTTTATTTTTTATGTTTGAACCTTTGCCGCAGATTTTAGCTATCCCACGACAACAACATAACAACCTCACAAGGAAGTTACACTCTACCTTCCTATAATATTTCCATATCCCTTGACACACACCTTATGCTAAAGATGTATAAGCATTGTTCAGAACATTATTACAGTAGAATGCCCCACAGAGAAAAACAAAAAAGAAAATCCACCACATCATCAGAAAGAAGGGTGCAAATCTGATAAATAATCTGACACCAAAGGTGTGCTAAATTCAGTCACCGAAACATAAGCAGCATTTACAACATGAATTCCTAAAGTCCTTATTCTATCTAGTTTTGGTTTAGAGTCAATATTACTTTTCTTCATGATTTGATACCTGAAATATTTTTATATTTTTTTAGAATTTTAAATAAAAAAAATCTTGATTTTTCATATTTAGTAACTATTATAAAAGAAAAAGAAATTTTTAAGAATTAATTTTTTGATAATCATTTTTGTCATTTTGAAAAGATGAGAATTTAACTTTCTCGACTTAAGAAAAAGTTATATATATATAATTATATTATCTCTTTTTAAAATAAAACAATATCTTTCTCTCTTTTTATTTTTCTTTTTGAGTATCTTTCTCGTTGTGTCTCACTCTCACTCCTCCTCTCTTTTCCTCTCTCCTTCTCTCTTCCTCTCCTTCTATTTCTCTTTCTTGCACTCTCTCACTCTTACTCTCACTCCCCTCTTTCTTCCCCTTCCATGTCTCTATTTCTCTATCTTTTATATCTTATTATCTTTTAACCTTGTCAATTTTAATAATATTATTAAAATTTATTATATTTTTACATTTTAATAATATTTGTTAATTTTTTTATATTTTTTATTTGAATGAAATGAAATAATATATTTTTATTTTTCTTAATTATAATGTAGAATTGTTATTTTTTTTAATTCTTTTTGTTGAATCCTATGTTTAAATAATTTTAATAAGTTTTTAACTTTTTAAAATAGGTTTTTTTTATAAAGATAAGAAAGATTACAAAGATGGTCGCAATGAGGATTGAACTTAGTTAGGTTCCCATACTTTTAACTACCCCATGCTTCAACTTTTTAAAATAGTTTAATGCCATATTTTTAATAATATTTGAGTAAATAAATATATCTAAGGAGTTTATTTTAATAAAAGATATTTTTATAAAAAAAATATTTATACATTCAGGAATATACTATTATAACTAAACGTATTTAATTTCTGGAAATCCTAAATGAATAACTTCAAACAAATTTATGAGTAACCAAACATATTTTCCATATTCACAAGAATCATGATTTTCAATATTTGTAATTTTAAAAAAATTAAACCTTTATAAATATATATATTTTTTTGAGTTGTATGAGTTATGAAGCTTTGTTTTTTTTTTTTCCAAGGAACGCGTCGAATTCAAACCTTACAAAAATGAATGTTAGGAACGACTTATTATATATATATATATAAGAGGGTTATAATAACACTGGTGTAACTTTTACTAAGTATTACACTGCTCAATAACTTTATATTAAATGTGAATTTTGAAAATCCAACCGTTAGATTGAAAGTTCATATCTCTTAGTTCATGTATACAAAATTTTATATTAATCTAAGATGACTGGATACTTCATTCTTATAAAAACAAAATTGACGAAATATATTCATTTCAAAATATATTAAAATATGAACACTTTGATTATCTTTAAGTTGTTGTTCAATTTTAACACAATTTAATATATACATATAAAATGATATAAACTTTCAATCTAACGGTTAGATTTACAAAATTCACAATTAATATAAAGTTATTGAGCGGTGTAATACTTAGTAAAATACACCGGTATTATTATAACCCTTCTCTTTTAAAATATTATTTTTATAAATTAAATTTTAATATTTTAAATAAATTATTAATTAACTTAATATATTTATTCATCTTAAATCTATGATATAAAATTCAAAAAAAGTATTTATCCTTATTTTATTTTCTAATTATCAATCATTAATAAAATACTAATTTAAAATCTTATCTAATTATATCATAATATTTTCATATCAAATTTAAAACCAGATATTAGTATGTTATTTTTTTATCATCATTAATTTATAAAAATAAAAAATTTAAAATGATAATTTTTAATAATATTTATTTTTTACTAAATAATCTTTACATCACTTAGAGCATAAAAAAAATTTTCCCTGCATCCCGCCATGGTTATCTACGGAAAATCCGTAGATAATGTTATTTACGGAAAATTTTCCGTAGATAACTCACAAAAGTTGTTATTTACGGATTTTATCCGTAGATAATGTTATCTACGGATAGTTTTCTGTAGATAACCCACAAAAGTTGTTATTTACAGAAAATTCGTAGATAACGTTATCTACAGAAAAATTTCGTAGGTAATATTCCGTATATAACTAAACATTATCTACAGAAAAAATTTCGTAAGTAACATTCTGTAGATAACTAAAAATTATCTATAGAAAAAATTTCATAGGTAATATTCCGTAGATAACTAAACATTATCTACATAAAAAGTTCCGTAAATAATATTTTATAGATATAAAAATTATTTACAGAAAAAATTCCGTAGATAATATTTCATAGATAATAACAGTTTTTTTTTTTGTAATGTATGGTGAGTGCTTAAATGAGTAACTACCAAACTCGTCATTGGACAAAGTGAAAAAATAATCATGAATAATGCAAAATATAAGAAGCAACACTAAAATGCATGAGCTATAACTTTTTTAGTTTTAATAGAAGCAACATTAATTTTAAACAATTTTACAAGTAATAACAACAATTGAAGATACATTCAATACTATAGATAAAATCAAAATCACAAATTCTAACATAATCTTTTGGGCATTTATTTTTGCATTATAAGTGCTTTTTGAATGGTAATTAAGGCTACATTTTCCTAACCAACTTACATAACATAAATACCCACATGCATAATCATGTACATACATACATGAATATACATATATACATGCATATATGTATGTACATATGTGAACAACAAAAATGATTTAATAAACATTACACAAGGTCATACTCAATAGCAAATACTTTGACAAAAAAATAAAATGAAGTTTATCCTGCCATACCATAATCATCTTCCATTATCCAAGGCTATTAATACATGATCCCTAATGCTATCAGTATACTGATGACTATTGCTATCACCATGTTCATAAATGCTAGATGGTGCCTCATGAAGCAAACATTGGGTCTCCTCCAAATTTTGGTCTCTATTGATCCATGGGTGTTTTTCCATTTGCCTTATTGCGTCCAACTCTGTTGCGACTTCCTTCATGCTAGGCCTTTCCTCCCCATTGAGTCTCAAGCAGCTTGCGGCAAGAATAGCAACCTCTATGATCTCTTTTTGATTTTCTTCATTCATAATGCCAACTTGAAGAACATCAAATAAACGATCCTCTTTCAAACAAGACAAAAAGTGGTTAGAAAGACTTCTTTTTTCTTCTGGCCTGCCAAAAGAATGAGGTTTCTCCCCTGTTAATAGCTCTACAAGCACTACCCCAAAACTATAAACATCACTTTTCTCAGTTAGTTGGCTTGTACGCAAGTACTCTGGGTCCAAGTAACCGAAAGTACCTTGCACCATTGTGGCTATTTCAGTTTGATCAACTGGAACCAACCTTGAAGCTCCAAAATCAGACACTTTGGCAGTGTAAGTTTTATCCAATAGGATGTTAGAAGTTTTGACATCTCTGTGGATAATGGGTATTGAGGCTGCAGAGTGAAGATATGATAAAGCTCCAGCTGCCTCTGCAGCTATCCTTAGTCGCATTTTCCAAGTTTCATTATTTATCTTTCTTTCAGTGTGTAGAAAATCGAAAAGGGTACCACTTTCAACAAATTCATATACCAGTAAAGGAACCTCTCTCTCCAAACAACATCCTAAAAGCTTGACAACATTCCTATGATTGATTTGGGATAAAACAACCACCTCGTTAATGAATTGTTCCTTTTGGCTCTCATCAACAATTTTGGACTTCTTGATAGCCACAGTTATGTTATTTTCCAACAATCCTTTATAAACTGTTCCAAAACCTCCACTGCCAATGATTAAGCTATTGTCAAAGTTGTTTGTTGCTTTCTTTAGTTGTTCTTCTGTGAAGATTTGAGTCATTTGGGGGGAATTTTCTCTTGTAGAGAGTTGTTGTAACAAAATGGAACCACCATTTTGTTTAAAGTATTTCTCTCTAAGTTTGATGAGTTTCCTTTTTTGATATATCAAGTACAATGAAGTAATCACCACAAATAGAATAACAATTGTTGCTGCTACTCCTGCATTTAGAACATGACAAACACAATTCTTGAATTCTTATTTGAACTACTATAAGTATAAATACTAAATGAACGAAGATAAATGAAAAGAAAAAAGAGTTCTGGTGGAAAACAAATATTAAAATAAAATAATTTTGCATACATTTAGTTGCTTACCTATGACAACCTTAGTTACTACATCTTTTTCGTGGCACCCTTCTGATCCCTTTGTTCCATTTCCGGATTGCCCCTTTAAACATAAGCATATGTGGGATCCATCGGTGTTGTGACAATGTTGTTCACTTATGCATGAATGTTTGCCTGTCTTACATTCATCAATGTCTGCAAATCCAAATAGAAAACAAAGAACTTACTAAAGTGAACTTTTTTTTTTTTTTGGATACGTAGATCCAAATTTCTTACGGCAATAAATGGGCATAACCGAGCCTGAGTCCATTGCAGCAAAGAGTTTAGTGAAACATTATGACATATGAGTAGTTTTAATAATTCAAGAAATATTTTAATTTGGTCTACCCAACAATACCAACCTAATTTTTTGTTTTCATTATTTTTTTTTATATAAATCTCCTAAAGTTAGTTTAAAGCGGCTTATAATCATGAGGAAAATAACAATTTGTTGATTTCATAAAAAAAAATCAATAAAAAATATTTCGGTTTAAATCTTGTAAATAAAAATATGTGATTAGTAATATAGACTTTTAAATTTTACCTCCCAACAATTTGTTAAAGTCAAGGTCAAATAAGTTTGTAATAGAATTTATAATTTTATTGTCAAACAAAGAAATGCTTAAGTAATGTTTTTTACTATATTATTATTAGTATAAAATATTCACAAATTTCATTGATAACTAATTTTTAATTAGAAACTTAGTTGACCAATTTTAGTAGGATCTCCTCTAAGTCATTTTTTTTATACACAAAATTCAAATACAAAATTTTATTTAAAAAGATCGAATTCAATATCACTTAAATCAACGATTTGTTGGTAAAGTAAATTTTTTTTTTTCATAATTTACTAAACTTTTTGATTATAAATAATAATTTTTATCAACCAATTGTACCATGTTTATTAGTATTTATTTTCCCATCCCCCTCCCCTCAAACATTTGTTTCAACTTACTATCTTTTCTTAAATGCAGAGCAAGGGAATATCGGATAAAACAGGAACAACAGTAATGAATCAAGAAATTTTTTTTTGAAAAGAGTGTACTTCCTCTAAACCTAAATAAATAAATAAATGAACTTAATTTTTTTAATATAATTTAAGTAAATTTCAATCAAATAATTATTATTTTATATTTTTAAACTAAATAAATGAAAACATTATTTATTATTCATATTTTATGTAAACATATAAAAATTAAAATACATTTAATTAATTTTTTTAATATGTCTGAAAGTATACCCTTTTTGTTGTTTATATATAAACGCAGGAGTATATATGATTGCAAAACTCTAAAAAATTGTGAAGGATGAAAGGTATAGAAAGGAGATAGGAGAAATAAATAATAAAGTTTTGTCCAATAAAAGAATTACCTGTGCAGCCAAGATATGGGTTTCCTTGATAGCCATGATCACATGTGCATCGGTAACCAAAGTCAGTGTCTGTGTCGTTGCAATGGCTATTCTCCTTGCACGCGTACTCTCCTCTGTTGCTCTCAAAACCGCTACAATTTTTGTCTCCTACGGTCCAATCAAGAACCAAGGGGAGCGTCTTGTTTGGGAAACTTTTCAAGTCAGCGGTAGAAAATTTATACGAGTCGTGTTTGGCAACAAACGAATAACTACACCTTCCCCAGTCCCTCGTTAAATTGTCGGAAGATAAGGTAGCTGCTGCTATGCGGATATCCCTCATTCGAGGAGGAATATCCACCTGGCAACACCCTACACCCGAACACGTTCCGTCGTCGATCTTCAATTCTTTGCCGTAACACTGCGTTACGCACCCCGTCGCATATGTGCTGTTGTCGTAGACGCCAGCGAGCAAGCCGAAGCTGTTGCAGCCAACAGTTCTTAACTTGTTTTCGGTCCTTGAAACGCTGAAATTCGCTGTTTTCATCCACGGGCTGGTGTCGTTCGTCTCGTTGCAGGACCGCGCCACCCAAAACGACACTTCCATTTGATGCGCTGTGACGTTTATGCTCAAAGCTGTGACGTTGGAGCCGTAAATTAAGTTGGAGTTGTTGCAAGAGAGGTTGAATTTGGGTTCCAAGAAACAAGGTTGTCCATGTTGTGTAGAAGAGTAGCCTATGCCGAATGGATAGGGAATTTCGACGTTTCCACCTTCGCACGTGGAATTGCAGCCGGGGAGGGTTTGATCAGGTGCGGCAGCTACCACCATAGCCACTGCTAATGCACAAATTAGCACCTTCCACAATTGCAACTGTTCCATTCTCTACAATCCCAAGTTACAAAATTGGACTTTGCAAGGGACCATTAATTTTGTACTGCTTGTGCTTCGTAGTTTCATCTATTTATAAACTTCAAATAAAATAAAATTCTCTGTAGGATACGTGTTGACTGGCAGGAAAGCTTTTCATCTTGAACAAGTAAAAAGAAAAGTTAATTTCTTATTTATTTGGGTAGAGAAATGCCATACGTATACTAATACAATTCTTTTGTACCACCTTATACTTTGCCAAATATTTATGAACTTTATCTATGTTTTGACAGAATAGAAAGCAAAAAAAGAAGAGTAAAAATAGAATATTTAAAAAATAAAGAAACATGAGAATTACTATATCAGTCCAGTAATAAGAGTTATATACACAAAACCTTAAATTTAAATTTTGTTTGTAACAGTGATGCCAACAACAACCAAAAACGGCTCCAAAGAATATATGTAAGACGTGCTTAAGAAAATATTTTACTGATCAGAGAGAGAGTGGAAGAGTAGGACCTTAAACCTCAACTTATAGAATCATATTAATAGTTTATTATGTAAAAACTACTTACAAGTGCCTTCCTGTGTCATCAACTCTAATTCTCTAACCCATTTTTAATCCATATAAATACAGCCATAACCAGCAGTAGTGTTAGATCCATATATATTTATTTTATTAGTCTGCTGACAAAATTGTTGTTTACTACATTTTTTAGTTAATAATTTCTTTAAAAAATTACCTATTTCAGAAAGTTTAACATCACAATAGACTTATACATTATTAACTAAAAGAGTGACCAAGTATATAATTTTGTTATTTATTCAATTTTTTGTCTCTATGTTCAATGACCAAGTGTTATTGACTTGCGAGGAAGACTGAGCAATTGTTCGGATAAAAATAATGCAATCAAGTCGCTTTCACCGGGTCATCTTGTCTGAAAATAAAATGACATCTCTAAATATCTAATTCGAAGATCAAACCTTAAATTTTTAACTAAAGAAACATAAATATAATTAAAATCAATTATATTAATAACATTTGATAATGTCAAAATAGTTACAGTCATGTCATGACGTCGATGTACAAACCTTTAAAACAATGAATATTGCCTTAATTAAATCGTTGAATGCAGAAAATAACTGTAGCGATAGCCGGCCAGTTGCGAGAGCAAAGTGCACATCTTTCACTTTCCGTTGCCTTCACTTTCAAACTATGATATTGGCCACTGGAAAGGGTCAATTGACTAATTCCTCTCGCTTCCTAGTTAACCTATGACTTCATTTTTTTTAATAAAGGTACGATCCTATTTAAGGCTACAAAATTAATTATCTATCTCTCTGAGAATTTTCAGAGATATTAAGATCGAATATCCCATCTTCGATGCAAGTTATTTGAAAGAATATATAATACTAAAGAAGTCGAAGTTGATTCCACCAAATCATACCTAATAAGAGCAAAGAAACTTAATCTATTACTTCATGTATTATATATTTAAAATAAGTTTATATATATTTTACATTCTTATATGTATATTTTTTTTTCTCGTTATATTACTGCATATAAAATTAACTCGAGTTTTTAATTTATATAATATTTGTAGTCATTTGTTTTGATTTTTGTTGTAAAAATAGAGAATAAACAGTAATTATATTTTGTCAAGATATAAAAGTAAAAACTAAAAATAAAAATTAATACATTTTGTAAGATTAATGTTAATTGTGTAAATTAAATGTACTTAAGGGAATGTGTACCCTATCAAAGTAGTAAAATTAATGGACAGAGACCATCCAAAAATATTAGGTTCAAGCAATTATCAACTTATAATAAATTTTTAATAATATGAAGGAATAAATTTTGAATGTGAGAACATGATAAAAAATTATGCAAATTTAGAAATTAAATTAGAAAATAAGTTTATTGAAATTCAACGATCTAAAACATAGTGGTGATTTCATTGATGCTGATTACTCCTAAAACAAATTCTAAGGACATTTATTCAAATACAACATCTTAATCAACATAGAGGTTCCTTAGTGCAAGGATTTTCTAAGTCAATCCATTAAGCAATTGGTTAGAAAATTTATTTAGTCTTATTTTCATGTTTTGTTGAAGTTCACAACACACAAGACATTTACCTACCAATAACGTGTGGTCTTTTCTCTCAAATGCTTTGCATTTGTGACAACATCATGCCAAGGGCCAAGTCCAAAAGGAACCAAAAAGAGTGAGCTAGATTTAAAGGAAGAAGACTCGAGTTCTTATTGAGCTCCGAGTCACTTTTAGTACCTTACTTTCCATTTTTTGTATTATTTTTTTTTTAAATATTTTCCTTAATTTTGACCTTGTATTTTTGGGTTAATTAATTAGTATAGGAATTTATTTTGTTTTGTAATTTTAATTTTAGGGGATGTTACTAGAAAATGAGATATGAACTTATTAGGCTTGAATGACCCATGAGAGTACCTCTTGAACATATGGTCCATGTGGTTGGAGGTTCACTTGGTTGACAAGGTGTCTCATGGTCATTCAAACTCTAACAAGTAACATATGTCACATCTAGTCACATTTTTTGCACCTTGCCATCTGGCAAGCCCCCATTAGCTCTTCTAAATCTATGATATTGATATGAGTCACATTTTTTTACACATTTTCATGTGACAAGCTTCTATTGGCTCTTCTAAATTTAAGATAGTGATAGTTTTAGGAGGAAAATTGAAAATTGAAAATTTAAGTTGTAACTATAGAAGTCTTAAGTACTAGTTAACCTAATTTAGGTTACATGTAACCATGGTTAGCTTAACTTGCATCAAAAGCTACTAAACTATATATATTGAGTTCCCCTCACATTAAGACATCACTTTTGAGGAATGAATGAAATTGATATCAAATTTCTCTCTCAAAAACTTTTAGTTCTCTCTTAGGAGATTCTACTCCTTATGAACTTTTATCAAGAAATTTCTCCTTTTGCCAAGTTCTTCACCTCTTGCTCATCTTCACCTTAAAGTGGCACTTCAATCTCCTTGTCTCTTGTTTGTCAGTTTGGCAAGCATATCAAATCATATGTAGTATTTTCAATTTAAGATCGTCTCTCAAAGGAACTTGTGCAATATATGACAAATGTAACTCAACACACTATACTATATTTCAAAAGAATGAAATTATAATTTTTAAAGTTGGATGTTTGCATAAATAAACTTTAAATGCAATAAAGAGATGTAATTAAATATAAAGTTGCTTTTGAAAATTTTACCAAACACTTGTTAGCAAGATATTAAGAGAATCAAATAGAGAGAACCTTTGGGATTGAATTTCATTAGTTCACCATTTTGTATTAGTTTAACAAAGGTTTTTATCAAAATTTTACACCATTACTCAACATTATCATCGAAAATCTCCAAACCTTAATCCCTTAGTGGCTTAAAACCATGTATTTCACCCAAAATCACCAATCCCTTAGCTAAATTGATTGAAATACAAACATTAGAAACATGGATAAATATAAAATGTACATTGAACTCATATTTACCCCTAAAAAGATATTCAATAGGTGTTTTGGCTGATATACAACTTCAGAAGAATTTCCCAATGACTACTTAAGTAGAATCCTCAACTCAAGCTAACAATAATAAAGAAAGCATTAAAATAAGAACAAAACACTAAATAATGGAATAAAACAATGATTAATGAAGTGAATTTAATACATGAGGTTCATCTAGTTACACTCAATCCGAAATATATTAGCTACTCGTAGCCATGAAAAGCATAAAGATTGAAGAAGAAACGACAAAGAAGAAAAAATGGAGCACTAGGGTTCTTCCAACTACCAAAGGTCTTTTAAATGGTGTATTCAATCCTTCCTTCAAATCTCTAGGTCTGTCCTGATAGAGAACATTCTCTTTGCCTTAGATGTGTCCACTAATTTTTACTCAACGATAATAATGTCTCGTTGAGCTAGGAAATGTCTCTACTTCTTCTAAGGCTTTCTCACTCAATGACCATGACTCACTTAGTGAGAGAAAGTTTTTGTTACCTAGCCTCGTTGAGCTAGAATACTAATTTATGGCTTAGTATTTTTTTTTGTCCTTCAATTCTCACTTGGCAACTAGATTGGCTAGCTCATTGGGCAAATTTTCAAGTGTATCACTCTTGTGCTCCTGATTGATCCTCAAGTGTTGGAATCCTCAACTTCCTTCATCCTCAATTTTCTACAAAAAGAGTTCCACTCATGAGATTTGGTCTAAAATTGCTAAAGGATTATCAAGAATTGAAAAACTAACTAACTTATACTAAAAAGAGGTTGGCATTACTAGAAATAAGGGAAAATAAAGATAATTGTTGTGATTTACACACTTGAGGGTAAGTAAATCACACAATTATCATCTCTCCACCATTTTCAAATTTTCTTTGAGGCTTTGAGTTCCATGGATGAAGATTGAAGCATTAATAGAGCTAGTTGAAGAGAAACACCAAGCCTCTCCTCCACTAGTTTCCTCATATTTTGTATCATGAGCCTAGGTTCATCCATGGAGGTTTTCTAGTGTGAATCCTTTCTTCTTCCCATTAAGAATATCTCTATATTTATATTATCTGACTTAGTGTCTGCCATAAGGCATATGTTGGCCTTCTCATCTTCTAAACTACTACTTTTGTTGTTGTCCAGATCCTCCCAAGTGACCATTAGACTTTTTTCGTCCTTCTTCTTGGTAGACTACCTCTTCCTTTTTGTAGGGCAATCAATCTTCATGTGACCAAGCTTCTTGTGCTCATAGTAGATAACCTCTTTGTTGTCAGTCTGACTTAACTTTTGAACCCGTCCTTCTTTTTGTGGAAGTTTCTTAATCTTATTTTCTTTTTTAGCATATGTCTTAAACTTCTTAGACAAGAGACACTACAAGAAAACGCTGAATAAGCGGCGGAAAATAAGCGTCGGCTAATAGCTGACGCAAATAGTGTCGGAAAAGTCGACGCTATTTTAAGATTTAGCGTCGGCTTTTCCGACGCTAAACTTAAAATATATATTTAATTTAAATTTATTTTAAGTTTAGCGTCGGAAA